CATGGTGAAACATTAAGGAACAGATACAGTACAACACTATTATCCACAGTCGCCCTACTGTGCAACAGAACTTCTTCCTCTTACCTAGTCATAACTTAGTACCTGTTAATCAACCTTTCCTTATCCTGCGTCCCAGCTGTTCTCTCCAGGCTCTAGTTACCATCATTCTACTCTCAACTTGTAGACCGAGTCTGACTCTTGATAGAACTTCTTCAAATGCTGACACACAGCAAGCTTGAGCACATATTTGAAAGCTACCTGCTGACTGCAAACTTGAAAAATGAACAAGCAAACAGCTTATAAACTCTCAACCTCACCATTTCAGTTACAATTAGTTTGAAGGCTGTAACACCTAAAATATGTACTGTAAAGGGCCCCCTTGACAGAAAATAAACTTAACAGGCTTTGTCCTATGGTATCAAGGTAAAAAGAAAGGAATTGAGACCAATAGAGGGAATGAGAAAACACAAATCACTAATGCTAGGTACAAATAATACAAGATATTATGAACAACTTCATGATAATAAATTTGAAATTTTACAGAAATGAACAAGTTTTTAGATAAACATCTTTTGTCTGTTTGTTTAAAGATTTATTTAAAAGTCACAGCTACAGAGAGGGAAAGACACAGAAAAATAAATCTTCCATCTGCTGGTTCACTGCCCAAATAGCCACAATGGCCAGGGCTGGGTCAGGCTGAATTCAGGAGACTGGAACTCTATCCAAGACTCCCATGTGGGCGCAGGAGCCCAAGCATTTGGGGCATTATCTGCTGCTTTCCCACACAAATAAGGGAGCTGGATCAGGAATAAAGCAGCCAAGACTTGAATTGGCATTCCTATGGGATGCTAGCATCACAACTGGTGACTTAATCTGCTGTGGTACAGCACCAGCCCCTTTATATAAACGTCTTATCAAACAAAACTTACTAACAGAAATAGAAAACTCTAAGATGAAATTGCCACACTCATTAATTCTTCCTTTTGTTTAAAGAAGAAATATCAACAATACATAAAATTCTTCCAGAGAATAGAAAGGGTCATTTTTTATGAGTTTTAATAAGGCAGAGTCACCTCTATACCAAATCTGACAAAAACATGAGAGAAAGAAAAATTACAACCAGGTGTATATATTCATTATTCACCTTTATATAAATTCTGTATTTTATAATTTAATAATTTAAGCATTAAAATAAACAAAAATATTACTTATACATAAATTTCTATGTTAAAAGAACTCATTAAATATCTCAGTCTTCAAATTAGAGAAGAGTTTATAATGGGAAGAGTTTATAATAGGATAGGAAAATAACTGTTAAGGAACAAACTAAATGGGATGACCAAGACAGAAGAACTGTTTCATAAGTATTCAATTATAATCTAAAACAATCCCATAAAGCCACCCATAATGCCAAGATAATCCTAGCATCAGAAAGCCTGGCGTGTAGAAGTCGATATGTCCAATATGGAAGAGATTTATTTATGGGTTCACAGCTATTCTTTCAGTTTCATAGAGTGTCATTATCTTTGAACATGAAAAAATAATCTTATGACACTAACAGAAGTTTCAAGAACTATTAGGCAAACAGAAGAAATAGAAAGGATCCAAACTGGAGCAAGTAAGATTGTTTATTCACAGATAACATAATCTTAGAAGTTGAAAATTCTAAAGATTTAAGACATAAAATAACTATTAGAACTAATATGCAAATTCAGTCAAGGGTACAAAATCAACTTCAGAAATCAACTGCATTTCTGTACACTAAAAATGAACAGCTGAAAAGAAAATGAAGAAAACAATCTCATTTACAATACACCTAAAAGACTAAAATACTTAGGTATAAAAATAATCAAGATGATGAGGGTCTTATACATGAAAACTATAAAACATTTCTCAAATAAATACAAATGACAAATAAATGGAAAGAAAAGTTTCATGGGTTAATGACTTAATCCTGTTGAAAATACTTCCCAAAGTTATCCAGATTCAGTGCATCCTGTATCAAAATTCCAATGGCTTGTTTTGTCATAAACAAACTTAAAAATTTATTCTAAAGATCTTGATTGACTTTGTCACTCTAGAATTAGGATAGAAAATTAGATGAAACTTCATTCCATAAAACAAAATAAATATTTCAATGAGCTCAGCAAAAAACAAACAAACAAACAAACAAACAAAAAAAACCACAAACTGGTTTTATAAACAGAGAAGGAAATGAAGAAAGCAAAAACAAAGAGCAGATTGGTCATTTCAAAGTTACTTTGCAGGGGCAGGTGTCTGGCACAGTGATTAAGATGCCCCACTTTGGGGCTTGTGCTGTGGCACAGCAGGTAAAGCTCCTGCCTGCGTGCCGGCATCCCATATAGGTGCCAATTCAAGTCCCAGCTGCTCCACTTTCAATGCAGCTCCTTGCTATGGCCTGGGAAAACAGTAGAAGATAGCCCAAGTCCTTGGGTCCCGTACCCACATGGGAGACCCAGAGGAAGCTCCTGGCTCCTGGCTTTGGATCGGCGCAGCTCCAGCTGTTGCAGCCATCTGGAGAGTGAACCAGCAGTTGGGAAGGCTTCTCTCTTCCTTTGCGTCTACCTCTAACTCTGCCTTTCAAATAAATAAATAACCTCAAAAAAAAAAAAAAAAAAAAGATGCCGCACTTTGTCCCTAAATTTGTATATATGAAATATATGAAACATGTAACAAATTTTAAAAAATACAAATAAAAAAGATGCTGCTTGGAACATCTACATTACCTATCAGAGTGTCTGGTTCACATCTCACTTCTGCTTCCAATCTAGTATCCTGTTAATATGCACCCAGAACAGCTTCAAATGATGGCTCAAGTAGTTGAATCCTTGCCACCTATGTGGGAGACCTGGATTGAGTTACTGGCTCTTGGTTTCAGGAGAGTTCTGGCTGTTGCAGGCTTTTGGGGAAGTGAACCAATAGATGAATGATCAGTTTACCTCTCTGTCCTTCAAATAAAATGTAAAAGAAAGTCACTTTCCTTGTTGGGCAGTACAGTGAGATAGAAAAATAAAAAATAATTCATTAGTTAACATAAGGTTATTTTGGGTAACTTTTTTCTCAGCTAAAAGAGGGAACTTCAATGTGCCACTGACACTGCTTGGTTTGAAAAATTTACTTGTCTTTCTCTCTCCTGATTGATTTGGATGGTTAAATAACTACTTACTTTTGGTTTGGTGATACCGAACTTTAGGATGCAGTATCTTCAAAAAGCTCATGGAGATACATACTATGAAACAATGTATGTGGATTTTAAAATTTTTTTGCACAAAAATACTTACTTTAATTCCATTATCCCATGAACTTTTGGGAGTACCCATATATTACTTTATTTTGATTTTTAGTCTGGTATTTGAGGTCTGGTGCAAAAGTTGAGTCCAAATCAATGGTCTCTAATATGCAATGTTTGTTTTTGCTGAGTCTCTCTTCAGAAAGCCACAACAAATTTGTTATATTTTTTGATAATAAATAATATGAACTGACTCATGATGAAACATCAGCAAAAACAAATTGAGGGCTTATTTACAAAATATGGCCCATTCTCTCTAAAAATGTACCTCTACAGCCAGCGCCGCAGTTCAATAGGCTAATCCTCCGCCTGTGGCGCCGGCACCCTGGGTTCTAGTCCCAGTTGGGGCATCGGATTCTGTCTTGGTTGCTCCTCTTCCAGGCCAGCTCTCTGCTGTGGCCGGGGAAGGCAGTGAGAATGGCCCAAGTCCTTGGGCTCTGCACCCGCATGGGAGACCAGGAGAAGCACCTGGCTCCTGGCTTTGGATCAGCACGGTGCACCAGCCGCAGCGCGTTGGCTGCAGCGGCCATTGGGGGGTGAACCAAAGGAAAAAGGAAGACCTTTCTCTCTCTCTCTCTCACTGTCCACTCCGCCTGTCCAAAAAAAAAAAAAAAAAAAAAAAAAGTACCTCTAAAGATTCTAAAGATTGAGGAATCATTCCAGGTTAAAGGTGACTAAAGGAATACAAAAACTAAATGCAATTTGTGATTCTGCTATATGACAGATCAAGAAGAGAAACTGGATAAACTATATTAATGAGACAACTGGTGAAATTTAAAAAGATATCCTATAAAGCATTATATTAGCAATAAATATTCTGACTTTGATTGTTGTTCTCTGGTTCTGTAGATGGATGACCTCACAGTCAAGGTAACATTAAGAGGCATGGTATTTGCAATTTACTATCAGATGATGCAGGAGAAAAGAAAATTTTGATGTTACGTTCAAAGAAAGACAGGGAGGGCAAGGGGTGTGAAAAGAACAGAATAAATGTGACAACATTTAACACTGGTAAATATGGGTGAAAAGCATACAGGGGTACTTTGTACTATTATTGTAAAGTTGTTAGTCTTAAGTTGTTCTAAAAGGCAGTTTTACAAAAGGACATGAAAAAATGTCCCATCAAAGTGTACAATGTTCTGTGGACACTTTCCCCAGAAGACAAGACTGATAATCCACCAACTTTCCAATATTATTTCTATTTCCATATTTAGTAATATACCTTAACTATTATAAATGGTATTTAAATTCAAGTAGCAAAAATAAAGATCTTATGACTATAAAGAGGAAGCCTTCCTGTTAGTCTGTGTATCAGGGAACAAAGAGGTTTTAAGTAAAGCAGAACTTAAATACTGTAAAAATAATAGCTTTTGTTACATAAACAACAAATGCTCTTCTTTCAGTCTTTAAAACTCAAGTTTCCCAAATACTACTTTTTCATTCATTTATGATGCTTATTTATTCATTATAAAAATATTTATCAATTTTGAATTAAGCACTACTTACTGGTGGAGGGAAAAACTGCAAATTGACACTTCATTGAAACTGAAATTAAAATATATTTATTACATTGTAAAGTAAGGCTTACTCATAGTGGCTAAGATAAAAGAATGATTGTGGATGAGAAATGTGTAAAGAGTAAATAAAACAAAATGAGAAAAAATATTACATATTCAATCTCACAAGAAAATGAAATGCAAAGTCATCTTTACTTTTTAATTGTTTAATTTTATATATATTACATGTACCATAAATACACACCTGTAATATAAAATGCTATACAAAAATCCAAGTAATTTAACTTCTAAAAAAGGGAGATATACTGCATTTGATTTCTGATACTTTGTTTAAATACTTTTTAAAATCAATTTTTAAGGAGACAACGAATCAGATGCCATTAATTTTTCATAAATCTTTGTGTTCACATAAATCTGTCATTCAAGTACATTTTTATTGGAACAATAACCCATCTGATTGGCTGTAAAGTCAAATGGAATGAGCCATGATCATCATACTAGAATCAGCATCTAATAGGAAAAACATGATTGTGATTTTTGAATCTTGTACTATTTAATGCCATAAACACAAGCACACCAAATGTTCATGTGGTTGGATTACCAGCTCTTCATTAAAAATATAGTAAATACTAAAAATAATTATTAGAAATTTTAGTTTTCATAATTTTTTAAATTCAATTTGAAAAACAGTACATCCTTTTCATTGTGCTTGGCAACTGGACATGATACCTGAAGGAATAATTTATAGATCTAATGGACAAAAAAAAAAAAAAATATATATATATATATAACTAAAGGATTTGGTATTATTTAAAGAACAATCATTTTGGTTCAGAAGTCATCAATCACAGCAAATACAAATAACTTAAAATAAGATTCCTTACCATAGTCTTGTCATGTTTTTAAAAAGTGAATTGTTGAGGCACAGAAACATTATATGATTTGCTCAAGGTCATGAAAGGAATGAAGGGGAAATAAAAGCCTTTTGTTTTCTAACTGAAGCGACTATACTACAGCCTAGTTTATCCCATCCTCAAAATTGGATCAGTAAACATATACTGAGAAATTAGATGCATTATTCAGGAATGTGTGTTTCACCTAAACTGCTGCTAGTAATAAAACTTAATTCTAAGGATCGATATTATTTTCATATATTATCAGGAATTAACAAATGAATATGATCACTTTCTGAATTATTAGGCATATAATAAAATACCTGTTAAATTTGACACAATTGATTGCAAAAACAAAATTGACAATATAATTTTAGACAAACAAGTTCTGAGAAAGATGCTTATCAACATGATTCTTAAAAAATACTAATCACAGGGCCTGTAAAATTCAGGAGACAGTACCATAGATGCGAACATATTAATATAAACATATTAAGTCATCTTCTAGTTGATCTTTTGTTTATGAAAACGTTCTAACAAAGCACTCATGATGTTTCCTGGTATTCTTTGGTGCTTATCAATCAAAGCTTGAACAGCATTCTTCGTCTATTAAGAACACAAAAGAAAAACCATTATTCTTTTAGTTGTCAATAAAGGTCAATTATCTTGAAGAGATTTTAACATATTACGACTTTCAAGAAGTCCCATTTAGCCTCCATCTTCCCTCAGAATTCATGATTTCCTTCTCAGTACACCAAACAGTGCATTTCTTAAACTTATTTTATTAAGCCTTGAATTAGTTGTTATCCATCCACATGGCTATTTTCTACAGTAGACTACAAGCTTCTTAAAATGTATCTTAGTATTTCTCTATCATTCAGCACAGCAATGCATTGCACACAGTAACACTAAAATGAACTGAAGAAAGAAAAGCAGAATAACAATGGGGAAGGGAACTTTCTGGCAGGCAAAAAGAAGACATTAGTAAACTCTAGTGCATTTCTGTTTTAGCACTATATGAGTACATGCCAAGCAGTTACACCAGGCAATCCAGCAGGAAAAAGTGAGAAAAACAAAGCATAAACTGGTATGGTTTATTCCATTCCCACAACTTCTACATAGTTTAACAAATTTTAATTAAGTCTAGAAATAGAAAAGTCAATTAGAATTATTGAGAAATCATTTATCAAAGTTATTGGTTTCTCATTACATCTATGGAAAACCTCAACCTTTAAAAAAAGATTTATTTTATTTATTTAAAGAGTTACAGACAGGAATAGAAAGAGAAATCAATCGTCCATCGGCTGATACACTCCCCAAATGGCTGCAACAGCCAGGGTCTCCACCTAGGTCTCCCACTTGGGTGCAGGGGCCCAAGCACTTGGGCATCTTCCACAGCTTCCCCAGGCGCATTAGGAGGGAGCTGGACTGGAAGCGGAGCAGCCAGCACTTTTCCTTTCCTGAGTTCCCGCCCTATTTCAGCTGGCATGAATCTAGCCAAGTAAGCCAAAACAACCTGGAGGTCATCCCTAACAACTCCCACTTCTCACTCACAATAGCCAATCCATCAACAGAGCCAACTAGTTCACCTCTTCAATACCATTCAAATCAATCCACTTCTTTCCATCTTCTCCCTACATTAATAATACATGTGTATATAAATAAATCTATATTTACATGTGTTCATGGACATTTGTATGAGCATGTAGAGAGAAAGGCAAAAAGACAGAAACAGACAGAAAACATGGAAACAGAACAGAAATAGAGACTGAAAGAACTTCCAGAAATTCCCCATAGTGTCCTTTCGACATTATTACAGCACATTTAACTTTAGAGTCAGTTTTCAGAAAATGACTCTTCTCTACAATCAAATGCCTGAACAGTCTATCTCCAATTTTAAAATAAGTGTTTCATTTTCTATATATAAATATTAATTTAGATACTAATAATTTCAAATTGTGATAATTTAGGAATCATCATTACTCTGTGGTTTATGCTTATAAGATAAAAATGAGAAAAACTGGAAAATCATGACAATGCATTCACAAAGGGAGAATTTTAAATATTCTCGATATTAGTTCAAAAATGTTAACTTACAGAATTATTCATCCAAAGTGATAAGAATACTTAATGGAAGAGTGAGAATCAGAACTCAGATCTCTAAATCTCCATGCCAGAATCTTTTTTCTTCTCTATCACTTTCTTTTTTGACATAAATATATATAGTATTTATAAAAAAATTGCTAACTATCTCTGACCCACTTAAATTCTAATAAATAAGAAAAAATTTTAGAACAAAATAGAATTCAGTTCTATCCTAAAGGAGAATGCATTTGTTAGAAAGCAGCAAAGAAGTATGTTAGGTTACCAACAAAGCACATGTGGGCAGAAGCAACATCAGAGGGTCAAGTCTCAACCCAGGTGGAGGGCACCTGGAGCTCTCAGGAACACTTCACCTCACCCAAGAGAAGAGTTATGCTCTGCGGAACATGTGTCTTGGCCCTGAAAGCCAGTGTCATGTGGTTTTACTTTCAGGACAAAGGACAGAACTAAACAGAGTGTATACCTGATGAACAAATTAAATAAATAAATAAAGGCAAAAAGGAACATACTGCATCACAAATGTTACCCTTATGAAACTTCTGACATATCAGTTGCTCCATGCAAACAGTCTCATCTAAGTCATATTACAGCTGTTACAGCTGCACATCCTTTTCTAAGTGACTATATGGCCAGCTGTGTTATTATAGTCATTCTGCCTCCATGTCAGGGTCCTCTCTTATGGGTCATTCTTATAGGAAAAGTTCAGGTCCTCCCTCATAGAAATGCAGTGTGGTTTTGTGACTGCTTTGGTCAATAAAATGTCAGTGGGAGTGAGTGAATCACTTCCAAACAGAAGCTTTAAGGAGCATCCGATGGTTCAACTCTTGACCTCTTCCTTCTACTGTAAGTGGCAACACTCCACAAGGGTTCTATTTTCAGTCTGAATCTCAAAGTAAAGAAGCATGGATAAAGCTGCTGCTGAGTCTTACGGGAAACATAACATGATTAAGAAGGAGATTTTACAGTCATAAGCCTCTGACAGTCTATGGCAGTTAACTTATCAGAGCAGACTGAATCACTGTCTCCTCATGTGTCAAACAATAAAACAAGATCTACATTATAGGGTTGAGGTGAAGATTAAAGCATACTATATATGAAAAGGAAGTAAAACTCTCTGTTGGTGACATGACCTTAGGCACAGAAAATTCTAAAGACTAAATGCATACACACACACACACACATACACAAAAACAGAATGAATCCATTCAACAAAGTTGTACAACTCCAAATCAATACACAGTATCAGCTGTGTTTCTATGCACTAACAATGAACAACAGAAATGGAAAATAAAAGAACAGTTTCAATTATAGTAGCATCAAAAAGCATAAGAGGCAGGAATAAATTTAACCAACAAAGAGAAAGATTTATACACTGAAAACTATGAAATATCCTGAAAAAATTTAGACATAAACAAATGTTAAGATGCATCCTGTGTTCACAGAATGGAAGACTTAATAGGTTAAAATGGCCATACTATCCAAAGTAATCAACAGATTCAATATAATCCCTATCAAAAATCATAATGGCAATTTTTACAGAGATAAGAAAAACATCTTCTAATTCATGCAGAATCTCAAGGGACCCCAAATAGCCAAAACAATCTTCAAAAAGAAGCATAAAGCTGGAAGACTCAAAATTTCCAAATGCAAAGCAAATTACAAAGATATAGTAATGCAAAGAGTGTAGTACTGCCATAAACACTATAACTGAAAGCCCAGAAATAAACTCCCACATACATGGTCAAATGATTTTCAATTAGGGTGCCAAGATCACACAATGGAAAAAAGTCTCCTACAAATGATGTCAAGAAAACTGGATATCCACATGTAAATAAGTGGAAGTGGTGAACCTTATCCTTATCTTATACTGTATATAAAATTAACTCAAAATGGCTTAAAGATCTAACATAATATCTAAAACTATAAAACTCCTAGAAGAAAACATAAAGGAGAATCTCATGACTTTAGATTTGGTAAAGATTTCTTGGATGATAGCAAAACAATAGGCAACAAAAGCAAAAATATACAAATGGAACTACATCAACCTCAAAAACTTCTGCCCATTAAAGGAAACAGTCAACAAAATGAAAAGGAAACTACAGAATGGGGGAAAATATCTGCACAACATATAGCTGATAAGTAGTTGACATCTAATAGACTATATATACAAAAGATTGGTATAAAAGTCAAAATACATTCTCACTTTTTTCAGAATTAACAATTGTTAACATTTTGCCATGTTTGCTTCACATGTAACTTTTTATACATATATATATACACACACATACACACTATTTTTCTTCAAAGTATATATGTTAGTTATCACAAATATGGAAATTATGAAAAAATAAAAACAAGAAAGGTATATTATTACATAAGGGGTGTATTTCAGTAAAGACAATATTTCCAAATAATATGGCATCCACACATTGTTTAAACTATATGCATATATGTTCATACATCAACTTCAACATAAGACAGAAAACACAGAGTTTTGTCTTTCTGAGTCTGGTTTATTTCACTTAGACTAATGACTTCCAAATGCATCTATTTTGTTGCAAATGTCTGGATTTCATCCTTTTTATGACCAAGTAATATTCCATTATGCATATATACCAATTTTGTTTTTATCTAGGCATCCACTGATGGACATTTACATTGATTCCATATCTTTGTTATTGTGAATTGGGCTGCAGCAAATGGAAGTGCAGATATCTCTTTCATATGCTGACTTTATTTCTGGATATATTTCCAGAAGTGTGACAGCTAAGTTTTACGGTAGATCTACTTCTAGTTTTTGAGGAATCTCTATACTGTTTCCCAAAAGGGCTGTGCTAATCTGAACTCCCACTAACAGTGTTTCAGGGTCCCCTTTTCTCTACATCTTTCATCAGCATTTGTTATTAGGATTTTTTGATAATAGCCATTATGGTTATTAGTACATTTATTATTAACACATTTTTCCATGTGTTTGGTAGCCATTTGTATTTCTCTTGAAAAATATCTATTCAGATCCTTTGCCCATTTCAGAACTGGACTGTTAGTTTTGTTGTTACAGAATTTCTTGAGCTACTTATATAGTCTGGATAGCTATCCTTTATCAGATGCAAATTATGAAAATATTTTCTTCCATTTTGTTAGTGTCTCTTTACTCTGCTGTTTCCTTTGCTGTGCAAAAGCTTCTTAGTTTTATAAAATCACATTTGTCTATATATTTGATTTTATAGCCTAAACTTTTGGGGTTTTATCCAAAATAACTGTTGCCTATACCAATGTTTTGGAATGTTTCCCTTATGTTTTTTCTCAAATAGCTTCATGGTATCAGGTCACATTTAGATCTTTGATCCATTTTGAGTTTGCTTTTGTTCAGCACATAAAGTAGGAGTTTTGTTTCAAACTTCTGCATGTAGAAATCCAGTTTCTTCAACATCATTTTTTGAAGACTGTCCTTTCTCCAAGGAAATCTTTAGCACCTTTGTCAAAGATAAGCAGATTTATTTCTGTGATTCCTATTCTGTTCCATTAGTCTATGTGTATATGTTTAGGCCAATGTCATGGTGACACTGTAGGCCTTTAGCAGCCTGATACTGTGATGCTCCCAGCTTTGTTTTAAATGTTTGAGATTGCTTTGGCTATTTAGGGTCTTTTGTGTTTTCACATGAATTTTAGCATTGTTTCTTCCAATTCCATGAAGATTGCCATTGGTATTTTGATGAATCTGCAAGTCACTTTGGGTAATATGGATATTTTGATACTATTAATTTTTCCAATCCACGAACAAGGGAGGTCTTTACATGTTTTGTGTCTTCTTCAATTTCCTTCATTAGTGTTTTGTAATTTTCACTGTACAGGACTTTCAAATTTCATTGTATTCCAGTCTTCATTAAATTTATCCCAAGACATTTGGTAGACATTGTGAAAGGCACCACTCTTCTAAGTTCTTTCTCAGAGTTGATTTTGTATTCTGCAATTCTGCTGAACTAACTCATCAGTTCAAATACTCTATTGGTAGATGCTGTTGGTTTCCTATACAAATATTCATGTCATCTGCAAGCAGGGAAAATCTGACTTTCCCCCTTTGGATTTTTATCTTGCTTAATGGTTCTGGCTAAAATTCCAGAACTACACTGAATAAAAGCCATGAATGTAGACATTCTTGTCTGATTCTAGATCTTAGTGAAAATGCTTCCACCTTTTTACCATTCATAATAATGATGCCTGTGGTTTTGTAGTATATCACCTTTACTGTAATATTTAGCCTTTTTCTGTGTTAAGGTATGTTGTTTCTACATGGATGTTCTATTTTATGCTTTCTCTGCACCTGATGAGATGATCATGAGATTTCTTTATCCTTCATTCTGTTGATGTGATGTACTGATTTGAAAATGCTGAACTATCCCTGGGATATCCCTGGGATCCTTGGGATATATCCAACTTGGTCAGGGTGGAGTATCTTTCTAATGTGTTGTCATATTCAACTTGTTAGTATTTTGCTGAGGATTTTAGCATTTATGTTCATCAGGGATATTGGTCTGCAGTCTCTTTCTGTTGTATCCTTGTTGGGTTTTGGAGTTAAGGTGATGTAGGCCTTTCAATTGTTTGGAAAAGTTTGAAAGGAGTTGACGATAGTTCTTCCTCAAAAGTTCAGCAGAATTCATCAGTGAAGCCATCTGGTCCTGAGCTTTTCTTGTTGGGTCAGTCCTCTTCTTTCCCTAACCTGCCTTGTAAATCTCAGCTTCCGATACTGAGTATAAATGACTTATGGCTCTTCATCACCAAAACTGACTTCCCTCTCAAACTCCAGTCCAGTATTTCCAAAAACCTATATGTAGAAATATATTCCTGCATATCTTGCAGGTAACTATAAATTCTATCACTGGCCTCTAAATATCTGTAGTACCACCCATTCCCAACTCCTTCCCTTGCTCACAATTAAGAAAAGTCTTCAGACATGGTCAAATATCCCATAGGGGACAAAATCACCATTGGTTGAGAACTACTGACTTAAAACACACTTGTAGAAGAGATAAAATAACATTTTAGATAAAATTGAATAATAAAAATCTGTCCAAAGATTACAGAAAGAACAATTTACCTTTTCAGCTAATTCTTCTGCTGTTACCTTTGGATCATATGGAATAGGATCACCTAAATAAGTTCGTAACTTCACTGGAAAACCTCCATACATTGGAGCAAATGGATAGCGGAATTTTTCATAAAGCCACCTAAATAACCCTGTTTTAAAGCAAACACAATAATTTTAAATGGTTAAATATTCTGACCCTGTAATTGTAAACTTTATTATGTAAGACATAACAGGAAGGTAGTACAAAGTATCAACTCCTGTTAATTAGTATAATATTTTTTTCAAAAGATAAGCTTCCCATTAATTGTAACAAATGTATGTAACACATTACTACAAGATGTTAATAAGAAACTATGGGTTGGGAAGTGGATACATAATAACTCTGTACCTGCTGTTCCACTTCTCTGAATACCAAAAAATACCCCCCCAAATTAAGAAGACTAATTTTTTAAATAAGAATTTAAAAATTTTTAAATATAAAAATTTTAAAATAATGCAATTTTGATTATTACAAAAAAATAGTAAAGACTGCATCTCAAATCTAGAAGCTAAAAGCCTAGAGGCTCACAACTAAGTGACTTATACAAATAAAAGAAGAAAAAAGATGGAAACATAAAATAAATTTATGTAAACTAAGACTATAGTGCAGCAAAAACTAAGTAGACTGAAACATTACTATAAATTAGGGAAAACAAAATTAATATATCAAGCCAAAGAATTACTAACACTAAATGACAAGCCTGAAATTTAGCAAAATTAAATTTAAAAAGCAGTAATAACATAAAATAAACTGATGGATTACATTTAAAACCAAAAAAAAAAAATCATCACAAAAGGAATCCAAAAAAGGCAAGCCACATGGAATGCACAGTCATGGATTATCCAGAATGTTGAAAATACTTTTTACTTAGGGAAACAGAGAATACATCTTAAGATCCAAAGTAACAGTCAAAAAAAAAAATCACTAGACATTAATTTTTCTTTTATTTGAAAGGCAGAGAGCCACAGTAAGACAAAGAGATTTTCCAACTTCTAGTTCATTCCACAAATGCCAAGAACAACCAGGGTTGGGCCATGCCAAAGCCAGGAGCCTAAAACTCATTCTGGGTCTCCCCCATGGGTGTCAAGGATCTGAGTACCTGAGCCTACACTACTGCCTCCTGTAGCACATTAGAAAAAGCTGGAACCAGAAGCAAAGGCAGACTCAAACTTCAACAACATGGAATGTGGGCAAACAAAGTGATATTTTCACCACTGTGCCAAATATCTACCTCACATGCTAACTTTTGATATATTCAGCTTTGAAGTTTTAAAAATATTAAGTAGTCAAAATAATTTTTAAAACAATTATAATTAAAAAACACAATTTCTGGAATAATTTCTAGTTTGCCACTTAAATTTTAAAGAAATAAGCTGAGGGAAAATTTTGAATAATTCTACAAAAATGTTAAGTATCACATCAATCTCTTTAAATTTAAACAAAGAAAAAACTAAGTCTAAAAAAATATAATGAAATATCAACAAAATACCAATGTTACACATAAAAAGCAGTAGCAACAGTTTAAAATGCTTCCAAGGGAGACTTAAATGTGGAACTAACAATAGTGCTAGGGATATAAAATAAAATCCATCAAATATACAAACTATCAAGAACAAAAACAAACACCACAAATTTCAAAGTACAAAGAAAAAGCATTTCTAATTGTTATCATTCTTATAAATAGATTAAAAGTTTACTTTCAATTAATAAAGATAGGTAAAAAGACTTTTCAATATGATGTGTTAAGCTTCAGAATTTTTTTTAAAAGTACAAAAATAAGCTAAAGCAAATGATACCTCCTTATATAATTGTAGTTCAATAATCTTTTTCAGCCATTTTTAAAGTTATAAGTTCTTCAGGGTTGAGTTCAAAAGACAGTCTGGGTAGTACGTAAATTTGCTCTAAATCTCAGCAATATGGTTTAAAACAATAGACAAATCACTTTGAAATTTTAAAAGTCCACTACAAATAAACTTCAGTATGTATATGATACTCATAACAATAATAATTCTAATAATTGCCACTACTTAGACCCAGGTACTTAGACTTTAAATGAAAAACATGTGAGTACTATATGCATTTTCTAAAGTTAATAATTCAGTAGGATTCTTTGTAGGATTCAAAAGCCCCAATATTTTAAATATCACAGTAATTTAAAACCATACAAATGAGAACTTACTTGTTCCTCCAAGTGATCTAAATCCTTCTCGTATATTTTGTGTAAACATAGGAATAATGGGCTAAAGAAAAGAATTTGAATTAAAAAGTAAATAAATTAAGCCATTCAATGTCTCCACTGAGTCACTAATATAAATTTTTGAGGGTCCCTTTGAGATTATGAAATAATAAAAAGAAAGGCATATGTGGCTAATGTGATTTATCAGACTAAATTCAACTTCATCATTTGCAAAAATACAAATTGGAAACACTACCCTCCAGTGGTAATATGTAATATTTCATTAACCAACCTTGCTAATAATCAACATAAAGCCTTGAAATTCAAAATAGCAATTATAGTAATCATTAATTTCATTAACATGAATGTGGTAGGTTAAATTGATTTTAAAGGGCTACTGGATAATATACTCAATGAAAAAAATTACAAGATAGAAATTCTCAATAAGGGGAATTAATATAAATTTAACAATAGATTTTGGCAAGATGGTGTCTTAGAATTAGTGAAAATACCATTTTTGGTGAGCCTATTATAAAATGTTCAACAGCAATGAAAAGCAAGTGTAAAACTCACTGACCCCTCCCCTGAAAAGGAAAAGCATACTATAAAGAACTACCCATATTATTTTAAAAGAGTCCTGCTCTCAAATTCATGATTATTTTTATTGTTCCACACGTATCAATGATTATGTATGTTTTAAACAGTGGGCACCTTAGTTAAATGCCATAAGGTAGTATCAAAGTATCAAAGTTATAGCAATGTGAATAGCGAAGTACATAAAAAACTGAAAAAAGCATTTTAAAATATACTGAATCAGGGCCGGCGCCGCGGCTCAATAGGCTAATCCTCCGCCTAGCGGCGCCGGCACACCGGGTTCTAGTCCCGGTCGGGGCGCCGGATTCTGTCCCGGTTGCCCCTCTTCCAGGCCAGCTCTCTGCTGTGGCCAGGGAGTGCAGTGGAGGATGGCCCAGGTGCTTGGGCCCTGCACCCCATGGGAGACCAGGAAAAGCACCTGGCTCCTGGCTCCTGCCATCGGATCAGCGCGGTGCGCCGGCCGCAGCGCGCCGGCCGCGGCGGCCATTGGAGGGTGAACCAACGGCAAAGGAAGACCTTTCTCTCTGTCTCTCTCTCTCACTGTCCACTCTGCCTGTCAAAAAAAAATAAAAAATAAAAAAAAAAAAAAATATACTGAATCAAATATGTTAGAATAGATGACATGTGTGCATGTGTGGTTAGGATCACATTGCTTACAGGCAACGATCAGTATACACCTAACACAGATCAACCCACCTTATAAGCAGGGTTTGAGATCCTTAAATAAGGTTATATTTTATAAAGCCATTCCTATTTAGCATTGGAAAGCAATATGGTGGACTGAAGGAAGTGGCTACATGCATACCCTTCTTTATAAAAGTATTATTTCACATATAACTAAGTGCCCACTTATTTATTTTCTCCTTTTCCAGACGGGAGACACCTAATGTCTGGCAGGAGCATCATTTTCTTCACTGCCATATCCATGAATACCTGGAATACAGCTGGTGCTGAAATAAAGTATGATGGATGGATTAAGGAACGAAAAAACAAAGCAAAGGATGATGCTGCTAATAAATTAATTTGCATTCTCTAAATGCAAAAGTTGGAAATAGGCAGCAACAACCTCAAAACCAGTTAGGAAAAAGAGAGAATCAGATAAAGAAAAGCAGTCAGGTGAAGAATTTAAATTCTGATGGAATTAATTCACAAAGCTAATACATAAGATAAAGTGCCCTGAATTCTTTAAAAATTTCAAATTAGGATCTAGGAAAATTAGGTTTCTAGGAAACCACCACTATTTTGTGAAATAAAATGATGACGTAAGTCCTAATGTTTTAAATAGTTATAAAATGTCTTTGGAGTTGAAAACCTGGAACACCCAAGAAGGAAAAGACAGTTCACCTGAGTATGTACTGCAGTGTGCCTCCTCTCATCAGTATAGCTGGACTGATTTCTACCAACTGGCATGATTCCAGGAGTCCATATTTAAATATACACTGTATTATAAAGACTACATGTATTTAGGTTAAACATCATTCCTTAAGTAGCTAACTCTTTGGAGCCTGGATATTTCCAGAACCTACTAAATAGGAAAAAGTTGACCCAAGTAGGCTCAGTACTCTAGGTTATTGTCTGGGCATATGGTTTCTACCAAGCTTGCATCCTTAAATTACAAGCATTTTCTTATCACAAGTTGATCTGCTAGTGTAATTATTATTTCTCTACTTGTACACACTTAGTACACAAGGTAACACATAAGTAACCTAGAATTAGTACACAAGGTAACACGTAAGTAACCTAGAATTCAATTCTGTTTACATATACACGTGTCTGTGTGATATATGTGCACACATGTGTGCAAGACAGAGAGAGGATGTGCAGTTTTTAAAACTGTTTTTGGGAAATCAGTTTAACATGGTTTTCAGGTCCTACCTCTGCTACAAAAATGTGGGAAGATACAAAAATGTTCAAGATACTTACCATGTCTAAGCCTTACTTCCTGTCTGTATACAATTGAGATAAATAATAATTATCCTCATATCAAAGGACTTTATAGATTAAATGAAATACTATAAATAATTTTATTGAAACAAAACGTTATTGACTTTTACATCTAGTATTTATTTTCTAATTAGGTTAATGTACTAACTTTTGTTCTAATTTATTTAGATATGAAATCTTAGCAAAGTCATAATTCTTAGGAATTCACAAAAAAAAAGTAATTTATATCAAATGTCTGTCACTTTCACAAAGGGGCCTTAAATATTTTCTACCAATATTTTGTGAACTTTCAGTGACAATCCAGCTCCTCCCCCCCTTAAATTGTTACTATACCACAATTGAAATGCAGTTAATCCTACAACAATTTGCTCATAGTTTATGATAATTTTCTAAGACCTATTAAGAGATTTTCCTAGACAGGATACTCATGCCAACTACAACTGCATACATACACTACTCAAAGAGTTGCCTTGCAAACCTGGAAGGCCCCTTCAATCTTGGATGCCAGCAGACTCACTGTGAAATGTAGTCAGGGATGGCAACAGCCCAGTTGCCCGAGTCCTGAACTGTGTGCTCTGCTCTGCTGCTGCCTTGCTGTGTGACCAGATCCCTTCCAGCCCTCCATCTCTCTGTGCCTGAGTCTCCTCATCTGTAACATTGGAATAATTACATATGTCACCTCCTTGTTGTATGGGAGTGCAAGATTAAGCCTTCGAAAACACTACAACATGTTGGGCTGGCACAATATTTATTAAATTTATGCTATTTTTAAAATCCGTGGCACTGAAGATTTTAGCTTGTAAGAAGCTATACCCTAAATCGTCTGAAGTTTCATATAAAAACCTTAATTAAGTTACCTAGAAAATCTTTCAATAATAGGAAAAAGAGTCCTTTTCTGTATATCATTTCTTCCTTTCAGGCCTTCTTTGAAGCAATATGCTGCTTAAAACTGTAAACTTAAGGATGACAAATTAGAATCCCATGTGATTTCAAACCTCTTTTGTCATCTTTATCTTGAACTTTTAAAGAAATAATTATTTCAAAATTTAAACTTCAAAATTGAACCATCTTCATTGGGTTTTTAGCTTTTATCACTGCTGTAACAATACATTCAATATACTTAATATTTGTTCATCTCCATATATGCTTTGGTATTCTGTTACTCACATACTCATAAGTGTTTCTATATAAGTGGTTAAGACTTTTTAGAAAGTAACTGAAACTTGTTATAAAATAATTTTCTATGTCACTATTAACATAAATTAAATTCCAAAGGCTCCTTTTCACTATTGTTTAATATTTTATGTTTTAAAAAAAGTCAGTTCGATCAATACTTAAATCCTACTCAATGCTGGTCATTATAGCAGAAATTTGGAATGAAACTGAAAGGCTTATCTGAAAGCAACTTATAATCTACTATAGGATAGTACTGTCTAATTTTTTAATGTTACTATAAAACAGCTGCACAAGTACATTAACTTGTATTAAGGTCATATCATTAAGGCCACTATAGCAACCATTTTTTAAATACTACTGGTTAAAACAAATCTAACCATAATCTTTCCCTTTTAGTCAACAACAGTCTAGAATGGCAATATGGGCAGTCAAGCTAAAGGTAAAGACAGGTCTCCAAGTGGCAGAAGTGGGTACGTAAAAAAACTTGAAGTATTAAAGTTACTTTTTAATTGGCCTGGGGAAAAAATCCTTTCAAAGGTACTAAGAGTTCTTCTTTTGACAATTTAACATGAAAATTAACAGAAAACTAAGAAGAAACTTTCGATAAATAACAGTTAAGTGTTTCATAAGACAAAGTAAAACATGGAGGCCAAAGCATTGAGAAATACTTTCCACAACAAAAGAACAAATGACATTCTCTTTCTAAATCTACTAAACGGAATAATTACAGTGAATCTCAGAGGATCTGTCAATTTTTCTGACAAAATTCATTTGTTTGTGAAGTCTTAAAAATACCTAAATTACACCAGTGTCTATTTACCTTAATTTCTACTAGTAGATAGCTAATCACATTTGCTGGTAAAAATGAGATAAATCCTAAATTATTTGATTCTTACTGTTATAAAAGCTGATCATATTAAAAAAAACTAAAGTGAAATCAAAACCACCACTGAAATATGACAACTTGATTATAACAAAGGGTTAAAATACACAAAATTGTATTGATTGCATTTATGTAAAAAGTAGAGCTGAAAGAATACTTAGTTATTTATACAAAATTACAAATTTGGTGAAAAGAAACTGGAGTTTGAAATGCAAATAAAATTCTGCTGGATATTTGACAAATTTCCAGATTATTTTTTAAGGTGTATCTTCTCATGCACAAGAACATTTCCCTATGGATAGTATTTTAAAAGTATTACAATGAAAGTATCTAAGTTCCTATATACTTTGGCTCATTATTTAAGCATTTATTTTAAATTTAACTAAACTTTATGTTAATAATTAATTTTATATAACTCACCACTTTTGCATCAATTGCAACCTGAGCGAAGCCTTTACGATTACCCCATACAATGTTGTAGGTTTCATCACTAAGTAAGGCTTCTCGAACTCCACCTGGTGAAATAGCTAACAGGTGACCACTCCTCAGAATTTCAACACATTTTTCTCTTGGTCCGTGTAGAGCACAAAATACATCAAGTAACAAACTAAATCCTGTGGGAAAAAAATGTAAGCACAAACACATATTTAAATTCTGCTGGTGTAATTCTTCAAGAATAAAAATTCTCACAACCTGCAAAATTAATTATCTACACTTAAAACAGTAAACTTTTTATTTTTAAAAATCAACAAAAACTCTAAAAACATAAGACTGATATGACCTGAGAAATAACAGTTGCACCTTACTGAATATCTATAATTAACCACTTCACTGATCATCAATGCTCTGGCTGATTTACATATTCACACTCTTAATTGGAATTCACAACAACTTTGGAAACCAGGGATTCTACTCCCCATTTTACATGTGAGCAGCTTGCTCAAAGTCATACACCTAAAAGAAGTGGCAGGGCAGAGCCTCCTGTACACATCTGTCTAGTCCAAACCTCCTTCTACTACACGTCATGGCCAAAAGTTATCTACTATAATTATTAGAATCAAGAGAAATGACACTCCGGCAGTAATCACTAGGCTAATCTTTTATTAACCCTGTAAGAATCACGTGAGAACTGAATATGATTAGGCCTATCAAGATGGCAAGATCACAATCAAATCTATTAAAATTAGGGGCCGTTGTTGTGGTATAGCAGGTAAAGCCGTTACCTGCGAGGCCGGTATCCCATGTGTGTATGGGTTTGTGTCCCAGCTGATCCGCTTCTAATCCAGCTCCCTGCTAATGCACCTGGGAAAGCAGCAGAGGCTGCCTTAAGTGCCTGGACTCTGGTACCCACGTGGGAGATCCAGAAGAAGCTCCTGACTCCCAGCTTCAGCCTGGCCCAGCCCTGACAATGGCAGCCATTTGGGGAATAAACTAGCAAATGGAAGACATTTCTCTGTCTCTTTCTCTCTCTGTGTAACTCTGACTTTCTAATAAATAAATAAATAAATATTTTTTAAATCTATTAAAATTAAAAATTGGACTCTACAATTTTTGAAAATCAACAGTAATATCAGACATCATAAAGAGCTTTTAATAAAGTAGCGGTGTCTGACTCAAGAGCAGTTAGTTCTTGTATGGGCATCAGGCACAGAGGTAAAATGTCACCACGGCTGCCCACCTCCTATATCAGAGTGCCTAGGTTCAAGTCCCAGCTCCACTTCCAATTCCAGTTTCTTCCTGTGTACCCTGAGAGGCAACATTCTTGGTTCACATACATGGGCCCCTGCCTTCCCTGTGCGAGACCCATATTAAGTTCAGGCTGCTTCTGGGCCTGAACCAACATCTCCACTGTTGTGAGCATTTGGGCAGTAAACTCTTTGTCCCTCTGTGTGTCTTTAATTTTAATTTTAAAATAAAATTAAAAAATGGAGTAAAAGAAAAAAAAAAAAGAATGACTAGTTCTAAGGTTTACAGCTTTCTATGGATAAAAGAAATAATCCTGTCAGTAACTATGCTAGAACTTCAGGGGCTGATGTTAATACACATTATTCCTTGAAACTGGGAAATAAAGGGATGGGTGCTAAAACCTGTGCAGACTAACTAAACTTCTCTTTGGCTTAAGGACCTGAAGAAAGAGTATAAATATCATAAAGACTGAAATAAAGGGCCAGCACTGTGGCATAGCAGGTTAAGCCACTGTCTGCAGTGCCAGCATCCCATATGGGCACCAGTTCAAGTCCAAGCTGCTCCACTTGCAATCCAGCTCTCTGCTAATGTACCTGGAAGAGCAGCAGAAGATGTACCAAGTGCCTGGGGCCCTGCATCTACATGGGAAACACAGAAGCTCCGGGCTCCTGGCTTCAACAATGCTCAGCCCTGGCCGATGCAGCAATTTGAAGAGTGAACTAGCAGACAGAAGACCTCACTCTCTAACTCTGGCTTTCAAATAAAGAAATAAGTATTTTTTTAAAATGTTTTAAATTAATATAAAGACTGAAATAATTTTCACCTTATACATTAAAAGGTCACTGATTTAATCAGATGCATTCTTACAATGGATGAATGAACAGGTGAAATTTCATAAATTATGAGATAAAACATAAAATCTTCGGGGCTAGCACTAAGGTGTAGCAGGTAAAGCCACCACCTGCAGTGCTGGCATCCCATATGGGCACCGGTTCAAGTCCCAGATGCTCCTCTTCCAATCTAGCTTTCTGCTCTGGCCTGGGAAAGCAGTGGAAGATGGCCCAAGCCCTTGGGCCCCTGCACGCACATGGGAGACCTGGAAGAAGCACTGGCTCCTGGCTTCGGATTGGCACAGCTCTGGCTATTGTGGCCAATTTGGGAGTGAACCAGAGGACGGAAGACTCTCTCTCACTCTCTGCCACTCCTTCTCTCTCTGTGTAACTCCGACTTTCAAATAAATAAATAAATAAATCTTAAAAAAAAATCTATTACAATAAGAATTGTAATGATTTTATAACTTCAGAAATTGATGAAGGACTTCCAGTAAATCAATGTCAAAATATTAAAAGGATTATAAAAGGGAAAAATTTTTGTAAAAGACAAATGCTAGAACTATTACCTTTTACTATTTATATTAAGGGAAAAATAGAATTTAATTTACCATAAAAGAAAATTAGTTAAATAAATATTTTAGTCATACATTAAGACTATTTCTTATAAAACATGGTAAAATGTTAAATGATAACATTAAATTGTAAAAGAACATACACAAGGGACCAGCGCTATGACACAGCAGGTTAAAGCCACAACCTGCAGGGCTGGCATCCCAGATGGGCTCCAGTTCAAATCCCAGCTGCTCTATTTCTAATCCAGCTCCTTACTAATGTGCCTGGGAAGGCAGCAGAAGAAGCAGATGGAAGACTTCTCTCTTTGTCTCTCCCTCTCTCTATCTCTGCCTTTCAAATAAATTTTTAAAAGTTTTTTTTTTAAAAAGTAATATATACAACAAATTGAATAATGTGTGAAAACATCTAAATTAAAAACTAGATAAAGTAAACTAAAATAACATTCTGTAAGTTAGGATGGTAATGGTATAATGATGTTCTTTTATTTTCTAGTTTCTAAAATAAAGATATTAGTTTTTAAAGGAAAATTTCATAGAAAATGTAATTTATACACACACAAAGTACAAATGGCTTTTTAGAGTCACTAGGATAGGCAAACCATTAACCTTGTTTATGAAAACTTAGTTTGTGTTCGTGTGGTTGATGTGTCAGCTTTGCTTTTATTATTACAAAGAAAACACAAACAACTTTCATGGCTTCTTTTTAGTGATTTAGTGACAGAAGAAAATAAGATTAAATCTCAATGAGTTTATTCAGGAATGATTTTTCAAAAACTCCATTATATTTAAAACTACTCAGTTAATTAAACATTTTTTAAAGGTACAAAGCCTTTATGAACAGATTAAGAAGGATATAGTTCTCAATCTGAGTTACAAATCTACCAGGCAGGTTGTATATGTAAAAACATAATGTATATACTCTTCAGAGTAGTATGATAATAATATATATTTTTAAAACTTTTATTTTATGGCCGGCGCCGTGGCTCATTAGGCTAATCCTCTGCCTTGCAGCACCGGCACACCCGGTTCTAGTCCCGGTTGGAGCGCCAGATTCTGTCCCGGATGCCCCTCTTCCAGGCCAGCTCTCTGCTGTGGCCCAGGAGTGCAGTGGAGGATGGCCCAAGTGCTTGGGCCCTGCACCCCATGGGAGACCAGGATAAGTACCTGGCTCCTGCCATCGGATCAGCGTGGTGCGCCGGCTGCAGTGCGCCGGCCACGGCGGCCATTGGAGGGTGAACCAACGGCAAAGGAAGACCTTTCTCTCTGTCTCTCTCTCTCTCTCACTGTCCACTCTGCTGTCAGAGAAGAAAAAATATTAAATTTAATTTCCCACACACACACAAAAAAAAGACTTTTATTTGATTTGGAGAGATTTGGAGAGATTTGGAGAGACAAAGAAAAAGAGGTCCTATCTTCTGGTTCACTCCCCAAATGTCTGCAATGGGCCAGGACTGGGCCAGCACCAAATCTGGTAGCTGGGAATGCAATACAGCAATGACTCAATTAGTTGAGCCATCACCACTACCACTACCATTACCACTTGCATTAGCAGGAAGCTGGAATCAGCAGTCAGAGATGAATACCAAATTCAGGCACACTCAATATGAGATGTGGGCATTATAACTGCTAAGCTAAATGCCCAGTCCTATATTATATTATTTGAAGACAAAATATATCCAAATATTTTTTACTAATTTTTACCTACTAATCACCTGCCAATTAACAAATTCTAATCACAAAATAAAATTAAAAATCAATACCTCATAGAAAAGTTCATCATCTGAAAAAGCAATCACCTACAGCAAAATACAAATTTTTGGCAGAAACTACATCATATTTTTCAAAAGTTAAAGTTCAATATTTGTCTTGGAAAAATAACAACTAATTACCTGTTAAAAAAATTTGGTAACATTTCTGTCCATAATGTTTTTAGTTTTAGATATACTGCTTATATAGGATAATTAGGTTTTCCCATATTAAGAGTTCTAAATGTATTGCCTTAAAAAGTCAAAAAGCTTTGCCAAGTGATACTGAAGAGATAAAAATAAAAAACACCATGTATTTGCATTAATCTTAATATTTTTGTATCACTATGCACAATGAAAGTTTACCTGGAATTTTAAAGACAAAGTGATCAGCTACTACTCGGCAAGTTCTGCCTTTGTGGATAAAAATTTTAGCCATGAAATAGTAAAAATCTATGGGAATAGCTCCATGATAAAATATTATAAGAGCTGGTCCTTCTTCTGGTACTTTTTCCATCCCATGAACTTCATAACCTGTTTGAAAGACAGAACACAGACACTTAAAATATGTTTATTAGCTTATTTGTACTAAAGAATGATCAGTAACTTTGGAAGCTCAGTCACCAAAGTGCATGAGCCTTCCTGGTTCTCTTCTCTCCTTTCTTTTCCCTTCCCCTTCTGTCTTGAACAAATCAGTGCTAAAGTCATTAGGTGGGCATAACTGAAGTAAGCAATCATGCAGAGAGGTGGCCTGGAGAGCAGTCATGAGAGAATCCAAGCAGGAAGAGCCTCACCCTGGGTGTTGTGGCTGAGTAGGAGTGGGGGAGCCACGGGTGAATCAAACATTTTGATGAGAGCCTGAATGAAATGCGGGGTTGGAGGGATTTGTTAAACACGGCAGCAGCCAGCACAAGGTGTCAAGTGTCTGAATGGAGTGAGCAAGTGTCTATGTGGGAGAAGCGGCCTGGTGTACGGCATCACAGCCTGAGCAGGTGAGGAGGGCACCATGCACAGGTCTGGCCTGTGCTGGGTATCAGAGCCCAAGCAGAGTGAAAAGCATCCATGAGTGGAAGGGAATGGTGGCAATGATGGGAGGCTGGTTACAAGGAGCACTGACCAAGTGAGCCTACACACTAAATGTGAGCCAGTTTTCTTACTGGTAGAGGTTATAAATGTAGAAAAGGAGCAAAATAAAATAAACTCTGCAGTCATAAGATAGCATCACTCCCTCCCTAACAATGAAAGAAAGCAAAATAGTCAACAAAAGCCTAAGTTTTCTTGAACATATCAGAGAGCTGAGGTTACCAGACTCACAGAACCTTTACAATTAAAAAAAGAGTTACAACCTAACATAAAATTATAACTTAGTATTATTTTTAGTTGTTAATCAAGGTCAATAAGGAGTCATGCAACTCTGAAGCAGTAAACATTTTCTTGAACCCACTGGCTTCTTAGAAACTATGTGGACCGATCTATGAAAGCCTGATAGAGAATAGTTCCACAAGAACAAGCAGGTTATGAAAGGGGTAAGAAAATGAATTAAGAAAGGGTCAGGCCAGGAGGTATCAATTAAGCTACAATTTCCCTGAGATAACACAACCAAGGGTAAAATTTAAGTCTTTAATTCACTGATAAAATAGGAAAAAGTCTTTTTTTAAGATTTATTTATTTACTTGAAAGTCAGAGATACACAGAAAGAAGAGAGGCAGAGAAAGAGAGAGAGGGGTCTTCCATCTGCTGGTTCACTCCCCAGATGACCATAACGGCTGGAGCTGTGCCAATCCAAAGCTAGGAGCCAGGAGCTTCTTCCAGGTCTCCCACATGAGTGCAGGGGCCCAAGTACCTGAGCCATCTTCTACTGCTTTTCCAGGCCATATCAGAGAGCTAGATCAGAAGTGGAGCAGCTGAGACTCAAACCGGTGCTCATATGGGATGCCAGCACTGCAGGCGGTGGCGGCTTTACCCACTACACCACAGAGCCGGCCCCAGGAAAAATTCTTAACCGATGGCCCAATGCAAAATAGAACACCACTGAAACCCTTAGGAAGCAAGCATTTGGCCTACTGCTTAAGATGCTGGTTGTGAATACCTGTATCCCATGTGGTAGTACCTAGGTTCAAGTCCCAGCTCCACGCTAATCTGCACTCAAGGAGATAGCAGGTGATGGCTCAAGTACCTGGGTTCCTGCCACCTATGTGGGAGACCTGCATTGCATTCCCTGCTCCCAACTTTGGCCAGCATGGGCCACTGTAGGCAGTTGGGGAGTGAATCAGTAGATGGAAGTTCTCTGTCTCTCTGCCTCTCAAATAAAAAAAATATTCAAAAAATAAACTGTTATATACAAATGGATGACATAATAGTGAAGCAAACTTTTGTGGCACTCAGACATAAGATTTCAGCTTTATATATTTAAATATTTGGAAATCTCATTCTATTCACTAAGAATAAAAATGATGGAAAAGACTCTCTTACTGCATATGGGAAGGAACTGTGATCAAAGATTTGAAATGAACACTAAGAAAATCTCTCTTCTATAGCTAGGAGATCAGAGACTCATGCTGTCTTTTTCCCTCTCCCTTCCTGCCATTCAGTAAGTCCTATGCCAAGTCTCTGGAATCAGGAGCAAGGGTTTAAGCAAGAGAAATAAATAAGATGAAAAGGGTGTAGGTTTGGGGAGGGGATGATCTTTGGAGCTGCCCACTAGCATAACCCTAGGCTGGCTTCCTAGAGAGCCTCTTTTTCTTCTCTACATGACTATCAGTGCCAACATACTCCTCATAGCAATTCTGTGCTGCTGGTGGACTTTGGGGAATATAAAGGTTTAAATCAGGTCTAACATAAAAGGTTGAAGGTTTCCTATGCCTCAGAGGAAATCCCTGGGTATTAGATCACAATTCTGAGGACAGCTGTAGGAGTGCATGGCAGGTAACCTGTTCTCCCTTCCCGCTGTGCCTGTCAGGCACACCACCACAGACCAGGGAAAAAGCAAGTGTCCAGAGGCCAAGAGCAGAATTAAGCTCAAAGAAAGAGAAAGGGCAGAAAGGAAGGAAATTTTGACAGGCTGTAGTAGAGGAAAGGAACCTCCAGGAGTTACATTTTTTCACACAGAACAGCTATCCCCAAAACTCCTGTCACAAAGCCCAGATTATGGAAATCTGAATGAACCTTTTTTTTCCTTAAGTTTATCCTTGTTTGATTTGCTAAGAAATAAACATTCAAAATAATAAAAAGCTTCAACCTAAATTTTAGAGCAGGGAATTCATTTTAAAAGTAGTTAAATGTGATTTTAATACTAAAGGAACACTAAATACTTGGTAGTATCTCAGACTCAAGAGAATATCTTAAAATTAAATGTAATAGTATTTCAATATTTTGCATTGTTTCCACATTTTATAGTAGTTCTTTCCAATTATCTAATTCCAATTCATGTAATTCAATTCACTTTTGAGGTTGTCTGAGATTACCAAAAGAACCACTGTCCCTTCAGATAAATTTTCTAGAAGGTTCTCTCTGGATTACAGAATTATTTTTTTAAATTATGACATAGTTGAACTACTTATATAATACCAAATTACCTGGTCAAAATCACAAAAGTCCACTCAATCAATTATTGACAAAAATGAGAGTCTATCATGCTGCTACTAAACATTAAGCCCAAGTACTCTTTCACTGAGTCACTCTTAAAGCATAGCAATGACAATACCAATCCCTGCTCAGAAAGCATACTTTTAGTTCCCAGTTGCCCAGTGACATTAGATAACTTCACGTATCATATGAACTAACTGTGGCTCCCCGGATATACTTTCCTACTTTTGTACTTCCACTCACATGGTTGCTGTAATTAGATCCTCTTGTCCCATCTCTCACTCTTCGCAGTGAGAACCATATTGTTAACCCCTCTTCCCTCAAACTTTATACTCACTTGGCCACCAAGCTCTGTTCATTTTTCCTCCAAAGACTCTCCCCAGTTCATCACACTCTTCCTCTGTCCAACACCAGTACCCCTTTTGAGACTTCTCTATAATTTTAGGTATTTTTTCAAAATGAAGCCAAAAATCATAGTTATTGCAGAAAGAGACAGGAAGGGAGAAGGGAGAAAAAGAGGACAGGAAGAGAAAAGCTCGTTACCTTTCCCAAGGTCACCAAGCCAGTAAGGTAGGAGAGCCTGGCTTAACCTTAACTAGATGAAGTCCTTCACTGCATGAAGGACAGAAGAGGTGAAATGAACCTGCTACTCAACTGAACAGAGATGTTATCATGATATCTCAATCTAACTTGCCCAGAAAAAATTGCTATGTATAACCTATAGGACCATTTAATGAACACAACATGTCTATTTCTTTCTTTTTTTTTTTTTTCAGGAGCCAAGTACTTATCCTGGTCTCCCATGGGGTGCAGGGCCCAAAGACCTGGGCCATCCTCCACTGCACTCCCTGGCCACAGCAGAGAGCTGGCCTGGAAGAAGGGCAACCGGAACAGAATCCGGCGCCCCGACCGGGACTAGAACCCGGTGTGCTGGCGCCGCAAGGCGAACGATTAGCCTAGTGAGCCGTGGCGCTGGCCTCAACATGTCTATTTCTTTAAAAAATTATAAAATATGAAGCAAAACAAAGTTTAGAGTCTGTGTTACTGTGGTCTTTTTAAAAATTAGTAACTCAGGGGCCGGCACTGTGGCAAAGCAGGTAAAGCCGCCACCTGCAGTACTGTCATCTCATATGGGCACTGGTTCAAGTCCCGGCTGCTCCACTTCTGATCCAGCTCTCTGCTATGGCCAGGGAAAGCAGTAGAAGATGGCCCAAGTCCAAGGGCCCCTGCATTCATATGGGAGACCCGGATGAAGCTCCTGGCTTCTGGCTTTGGATTGGTGCAGCTCCAGCACTGGGAGTGAACCAGTGGATGGAAGACCTCTCTCTCTCTCTCTCTCTCTCTCTCTCTCTGCCTCTCCTCTCTCTGTGTGACTCTGATTTTCAAATAAATAAATAAATCCTTAAAAAAATTAGTAACTCATAAAATATGCAAAATAAACCATATGACCAGGCTACCTAATTAATCAAACAACTGCATTTTCTCAAAATTTTATATTGCTAATGAACTGAACAAGTTAGGCTGGTATTAAGTAAGCATATAAGCATAAACATAATTTTCAGACAATGCAGTAAATTCCTTTGTTAAATAAAATCGAAACCACAAAAATATACATATACATTCTAAAACAAACAAGTAAAAGGCCCAAAGACAAAATATTTCTCATTTCCTGGAAATGAAAGTGACAGACTTCATTACCTTCACAACAGTGCTAAAATGCATGGCTTTTAATTTTCTCAAAAACACCCAGCTATCTAATTGAGGACTCTTTTTCAACATATGAACTTCCAGGAGAAATCATTCATTGTTAAGAGTCTAACTTTTTTAAAGTGGCATCTGTATTTTCAAGGAATAAGATTTTTGGCAAAACAATTTAAAATTTTTATACTCTAAAGGCTGTAGGCAACTGGAAGGTATAGGTGTTGCTGCCTCATTACTAAGATGCAGGTATCGAAAATATCAAGTAAGTGTTTTTGATGTAGTGTAGGCTAAATAAGCGCAGCACATAAAAATCTCAGACTGTTTTAAAAAATCATAGAGAAGCCACATTACACATTCTGAGAGTAAAATTTAACTTCAAAATTGAAATACTGGAAACATTCGTGTACAAAAATGCTATTTAAATAGCAAAAAGAGGGCCAGCACTGTGGCATACCGCGGGTAAAGCCGCCATCTACAGTGCAGGCATCCCATATAGGCGCCAGTTCGTGTCCTGGCTGCTCCACTTCCAATCCAGCTCTCTTCTATGGCCTGGGAAAGCAATAGAAGATGGCCCAAGTCCTTGGGCCCCTGCACCTGCATGGGAGACCCGGAGGAGGCTCCTGGCTCCTGGCTTCGGATCGGCGCAGTTCCAGCCATTGTGGCCAATTAGATAGTGAACTGGTGGATGGAAGACCTCTTTCTCTCCCTCTCACTCTCTCTCTCTGCCTCTCCTTCTCTCTCTGTGTAACCCTTACTTTCAAAATAAATAAATAAATCTTTTAAAAAATAATAAAAAGAAATTATAAAAAAATTACTGTTCAGCGGCAGGCATTAGGCACAGCAGTTAAGGGACTGCTTGGGGGCCTGGTGTTGTGACATAGCAGGTTAAGCTTCTTCTTACAACACCAGCATTCCATAGCAGAGTGGTGGTTTGAGTCTCAGCTGCTCCACTTCCAATCCAGCTTCCTGCTAATGAGCCTAAGAAAGTAGCACGGAGGAGACCAGGATGCAGTTCCTTGCTCCTGGCTTCATCCTGGCCCAGACCTGGATGTTGCAGTCTTTTGGGGAGTGAACCCGTAGATGGAAGATCTTTCTCTCTCCCTCTGCCTCCTCTTCTCCTTCTGTTGCTCTTTCAAATAAATAAGCTTATTAACTAATTTTAAAAAGAGAGAGACAGTGTGCCAGGTTTGAGTTCCTGCACTGCTTCCAATTCCCATTTATTACTAATGTGTGCCTTAGAAGACAGCAAGCAAAGGCTCAAGTACTCTGCCACTCATATGAAAGACCCAGATTGAGTTCCAGGCTCCAAGTTTCAGCCTGGCCCAGTTCTGGCTATTGCAGGAATCTGGGGAGTTAACCAGTGGATAGAAGATCTCTGTCTCTTTCTCGCAATAAAAAGTGATTAAAAATTAAATTTAGAAAATTTAATTATTGTTACATAATAGCTAATTAATTTACTTATATAATTAAAAGAATCTCACATATCCATTAAAAGTCACATTTATTGGGGTCAGCTCTGTGGCACAGCGGGTACAGCCACAGCCTGCAATGCTCACATCCAATATGGCCATGATTTGAGTCCTGGCTGCTCCACTTCCTACACAGCTCCCTGATAATGCACCTGGGAAAGCATAAGATGGCTCAAGTGCTTGGGCCCCTGCACTCATGTGGAAAACCCAGAAGAAGCTCCTGGCTCCTAGCTTCAGACTGGCCCAGCCTCAGCTGTTGCAGCCATTTGGGGAGCGAACCAGCAGATGGAAGATCTCTCGTGTCTTCCCTCTCTCTAATTCTGCCTAACAAATAAAATAAATCTTTTAAAGTCACAATTATGAAGAAGACTAAGTGAAATGAAAAACAGTAACATGCCACACATGAGAACATGACAGTGGCTGATATTTGGCATCACATGGTACACCCACATTCCACACTGCAGTGACCAAGTTCAAGTCTTGACTCTGTTTCCAAATCCAGCTTCCTGCCAAGCACACCATGTGAGGCAGCAGGTAAGGACTTACATAATTGAGTCCCTGCCACCCACATGGGAAACCCAGATTGAATTCCTAGCTCCTGGCTTCAACCAGGTCCAACTCCAGTGTTGCAGGTATCTGGGGAGTGAACCAGCAGATGGAAGATATCTCTGTGTCTCTCTTTTTCAAATATACATTCAAAAAATTTTTTTTGTTTTAAATCTTTACATTGCTAAAGTCAAAGGTACTTTCAACAAAATAAAAACAAATGCTAAATAACTAGAACATTTTAAAAATAGTTTGTGGGGCCAGCGTTGCAGCACAGCTGGTTAAGCTGCTTCCTAAAATGGATCAAAAGTGGAGCAGCCAGGACTCGAATTGTAGACCCTGCAGGCGGTAGCTTAACCTGCTACACCACAATACCAGCCCCAGGGAGAAGAAAAAGTTTCTATCCAGTTTTTTTTTTTTAAGATTTATTTATTTATTTGAAAGGCAGAGTTACAAAAGCCGAGGCAGAGAGAGACAGATACAGAGAGAGGAAAAAAAAAAAAAAAACTGGAAGACCTTTCTCTCTGCCTCTCTCTCTCACTGTCCACTCTGCTTGTCAAACATCAAATAATAGGAGACGAACAACCCAACATGGGAAGCAGGATACACAGCAAACTCAGAGAATGGCAAATGCCCTAAACAGTACTCTGGCCTCAGAATCAGCCCTTATGGCATTCAGATCTGGCTAAAAAGCCCATTAGAGTTTCTCAGGCATAGAAAGCTAAGACACTGTGGCAAAAAAAAATTGACCTACGGGCTGGCGCCGTGGCACACTTGGTTAATCCTCCACCTGTGGCGCCGGCATTCCATATGGGCGCCAGGTTCTAGTCCTGGTTGCTCCTCTTCTAGTCCAGCTCTCTGCTGTGGCCTGGGAAGGCAGTGAAGGATGGCCCAAGTGCTTGAGCCCCTGCACCCATATCAGAGACCAGGAGGCTCCTAGCTTCAGATCGGCGCAGTGCCGACCGTGACAGCCATTTGAGGAGTGAACCAACGGAAGGAAGACCTTTCTCTCTCTCTCTCTCACTGTCTAACTCTGTCAAATTAAAAAAAAAAAAAAAAAAAAAAAAAAAAACAGACCTAAATGAAAGATCTCTGTGAGTGAGATCCCAGTGGAAAGAATAGGTCATCAAAGAAGGAGGTACCTTACTCTGAAGGGAGGAGAGAACTTCCACTTTGATTATGGCTTTGTCTAAATAAGGCCAGAGTTTGTGAACTCAAGAGGCTTCCATAGCCTTGGCAGCTCATGACAAGAGCCTCAGCTGATTACTGATATCATAAATAAGAGTGTCAACTGTTAAATCAACAACAGGAGCCACTGTGCACTTACTCCCCATGTTGGATCTCTGTCCTTAATGTGTTGTACTATGCGAATTAACAGTAAAACTATTATTCAAATAGTATTTCATACTTTGTGTATCTGTGTGGCTGCAATCTGTTGAAATCTTTACTTAGTATACACTAAGTTGATCTTCTGTTTATAAAGATAATTAAAAATGAATCTTAATGAAGAATGGGATGGGAGAAGGAGTAGGATGGTTTGTGGGTGGAAGGTGGTTATGGGGGGAAAAAATTGCTATAATCCAAAAAAGTTGTACTTTGGAAATTTGTATTTATTAAATAAAAATTTTCTAAATGAAAAAAAAAAAATAATGTGCTTGGGAAAAAAAATCATCTTAAGGAAGACACACATGGGCTGGCACTGCAGTGAAATGGGTTAAGCTGCCGCCATCAATGCCAGTATCCCATATGGACACTGGTTTCAGCAACTCCACTTCCAATCCAGCACCCTGTTAATTAACCAGGGAAAGCAGCAGAAAATGGCCCAAGTACTTGGGCCCCTATACCCACGTGGTAGACCTGAAAGAAGCTCCTGGCTCCTGGCTTTCGCCTTTCCCAGCCCTGGCCATTGCAGCCATTTGGGGAGTGAACAGCAGGTGGAAGATGTTTCTCTATCTCCACTTCTCTTTCTCTCTGTATGTGACTCTGCCTTTCAAATAAATAAATAAATCTAAAAAAAAAGACACATAAGTATTCCCAATGCATGCAAAAGGATAATGAATCACCTGAATTATCATTTTCACTATCTTCTCAGTCAGTAAAATGGAATGGAAATCCTTTCAGTGCTACCCACGTGAGTAGCAACACACAGAGATCAAAGTGTACTTGCTTACCATGCCAAACTGCTGCATGTCCATCCCACAGGGTCGCCACCGTTTTCCTTGCACCATCCCACAAATTATGAGAATAGGCTTCTTTTAACACATTCTTCCTCTTATAGATGTGCAAGAAAATGATGGTAAGGTAGAGAAGAAAGATTGTAAAGTATGGAAGTATCAAAAGTATTAGTGGTGTAAAAACCCACAAGAGATAATTTGCAAAATTCAAGTAGTCCTCCAATTGTTCCACACCAAACCATTCTTCAAGGATGTGAATCAGACAAGTCATAAAGGGCACAGAATCCTGTCCTGCACCACAGGTGTGATTTTTATCTGTCATTTTTCTTTAAGTGAAAATGACAAATTCAGTCTCTTTCTTCATTGCCATAGCAGATCTTTAATTTTGGCACTATAAGGGAAAAATAATTCAGTGTTAGTCTCTTTAAAGTTAAATGTTTTTAGTCTACATAAATACTACTCAGTACTATTTCTTAATTTCTGTTAGTGATTAACTTTGTTGCAAATTTAAATGTGAAAATCACAAGGTTTCATCTGTTCCCTCAGGCAGTATGTTGAGTTTAACTTTTGAAGCTAACTTGCAAGACATAATTGAGAGAAGAAAATAAAGCTCACTAGAAATGAACTTTCAAGCCAATCTTAGCAACAGTTCTTCACAAAAGAAATATCAACATCTGGTCAATAAAAGTAAGCCTGATTCTTTTAGGAAAGGATAGCATACATTTTTGAATATTATTTTGTACAGAAATTTACTTAAAGCTGTCTGATCTTTTGATTTTATACAAAGAATTTTATCTTACAGTCATTAAAATTTTACTTAAGTGACTAAAAATACTGCTGTACAATCATTTTATGAACTCACTCTCTAAAACAGTCATTTGACTTACCAGAAATCAGATAAATATCTTGTCACAAGCTTCAATGTATGTATATACTCTGGAAAACACAGTAAATAAATGTGATAAACACATGATTAAAGGGAAAAATAATTATCAATACTTAAAGTTGGAACTTCCATAAACAGCAAGTGATATCTGACAAATATAACAGCCCTATATTAGCATAGCACAATTAATAAGCATACTAATACTACCATTGATTAATGAAGACAACAATTTAGTGTCACTATATAAAGGTCTACCTAAAGATTTTAACAGAGGTATAAAAAGTTTTGCTTCCTCAGAGAAAAAAATGAAGTTACGATGTACAATTAATTGGCCTTCCTTTTTAAATTTTTTTATTTATTTATTTTCATTTTATTTGAGAGACAACGAGGCAGACATTCCATCCTCTGGTTCATTCCTCAAATGCTTGCAACAGCCTGGGCTGGGACAGTCCAAAGCCAGCAGCCTAGAATTCCATCTGGTTCTCTCATGTTAGTGGCTGAGACTCAAGTATTCAAGTCATCATCTGCTGCCTCCCAGGAGGTACACCAGCAGGCAGTTGGATCAGAAGTAGGGGAACTGGACTTTAACCAAGCTTTCCAACAAGGGACACAGGTAGTCCATGCATCTGTTCTGGTTGCTTTTGTTTTTTGATTATAGTTATCCTACTGGGAAAAGTTCTTGTTTTAAAAAGCATGACATTTTGCTGTGCTGCCATCTAGATGACCAAACTTTAGTAATTTTGCCAGGTAACATAATGTTTAAGCAGGATATTTGATGATACAGTTATACTAGCCCTATGATAATAATTTCCCACAGAAGATTTTCTTCTTCCAATCATACTTTCCTGGTTCTTGTACTATTATTAGAGATATTTTATTATTATTCCATGTTACATAATCTTAATGAAAATGATCTCAATTACTTCATGGCTAAGGCAGAAAATAAATAAATAAAAGAAAGCAAAGGAGAGGCCAGCACTGTGGTGCAGCAGGTTAAAGCCCTGGCCTGAAGCGCTGGCATCCCATATGGGCGCTGGTTCTAGTCCCGGCTGTTCCTCTTCCAATCCAGCTCTCTGCTATGCCCTGGGAAAGCAGTAGAAGATGGCGCAAATCTTTAGGCCCTTGCACCCATGTGGGAGACCTGGAAGAAGCTCCTGGCTCCTGGCTTTGCATCAGCTCAATTCTGGCGTTGTGGCCATCTGGGGAGTGAACCAGTGGATGGAAGACCTCTCTCTGTCTCTACCTCTCTCTGTAAAACTCTCTCAAATAAATAAAATAAATCTTAAAAAAAAAAGGGGGGGGGAGCCAGGATGGCGGAATAGTGAGGGTGCAGACGGAGAGTCCGGGAAAAGATAGTTTAATAAAAGTGGAGTTACGGTCGCCTCAGGAAAAGGATCAGGAAAAAATTGCAGAGGAAACTCTTCCAGATTTAGTGGCTGTGACTCGGAGGACCTATGGGGAGAGCAAGGTCGCCCACCGTGTGGAAGCCAAGCCGCCGGAGCAGTGGGATCCGCAGACTCTGCGCGCCAGCGCTGGAAGGGGAGGAGGAAAATTGAAGAAGCTCAAACTGCCTCAGTAAAACTTGAGCAAACATCAACCTCTGGAGTTAAGACTTTGGTGGACTTGTGTTGAGAGCATGGGAGCGCACAGTTTGGGACACCAGCAGCAGACTCAACACACCACCGCTGGAACGCGAGGTGAGCCGAACCTCAATAGCCTGAGACACCGGCAGGCAAGCAGAAAGAGGAGACTTGAGGGAACGACCCCGTGGGTAAAATTTCACCAGGCTAACTAGAAGAGAGAGAGAGAGAGAAAAAAAAAAAGTGACCGATACGGACACGAGTTTCTCTCTTTCCACTCACCTCTCATAGGCGAGCAAGACAAAGAGCAGGTGCCATCTTGGACATACGTCATAAGCAGGGCGACCTCAAGTCTGCACCGGCCCTGAGCCTAGCAGAAAAACCTAAGTCTGGGGGGGAGGGGGTGAATTAACAGGAGATTAGGACCTAGTGAATGTGTGGTGCTACTGAACTGAGACTGTGAAAAAAGAGACGGTGGGGGAGAGAACTAATGGAATTCACGTGAGTACTCTCCAGAGATGCTACAATTCGGTAACCCTGCCAACCCAGTGGGAGACTGCAGGAGAATTTGAGCCCACACTGAGGGCAGGACAGATTCCCTGTGTGGTCCTTGGGAAGAGCTTCCAATCTCTGGCTCCTGTGGGTATATCATTTGCCTGATAACTACCTCCAATTCTGTTCAGCTGTGTGGAATTACGTCCCTTTTGATCAGAATAAAGAAACTAACAAAAAAAAGAAAGAAAGAGAGAGAGAGCGATTTACCAGGCCTTACCTGGGAGTGTCACCTTTGGCACACCCTTAACCCTGAGGAACCAAACAGAGCTCTCAGGCCACACCCATCTCATGCCTCTAAGGCTCCATCAAAAACAGACAGTCCACTTAATCTAGAGTCATAGTATAACAAGAAAAAGCACCACAGTGAAGAAACCAAATATCTCCAATATGCCAAATAACAAACGCAAAAACCGAGATAATAGAAACAAGGAAGTCACCATGACGCCCCCAAATGAAAAAAGACACCCCAATTCAAGATTATGAAGATGATGACATAGAAGAAATGCAAGAAGCGGATCTCAAAAAATTGATAAGAACATTAAGAAGTTCTCAAAAACAAATTCCTGAACTACAGAAATCCTTAATGGACAAGATAGAAAATCTTTCTCGTGAAAATGAAATATTAAGGAGGAATCAAAATGAAATGAAACAACTAGTAGAACAGGAAACTGTGATAGTGACGAGAAATCATAATGAAATGAAGAATTCAATAGATCAAATGACAAACACATTAGAGAGCCTTAAAAACAGAATGATTGAAGCAGAAGAGAGAATGTCAGACTTAGAAGACAGAGAACAGGAAAGAATACAGTCAAGCCAAAGAAGAGGAAATTAGAAATCTAAAACATATTGTTGGGAATCTACAGGATACTATTAAAAAACCCAACATTCGGGTATTAGGAGTTCCTGAAGGCATGCAGGGGGAGAAAGGATTAGAAGGCCTTTTTAGTGAGATACTAGCAGAAAATTTCCCAGGTTTGGAGAAAGACAGAAACATCCTAGCACAGGAAGCTCACAGAATCCCTAATAAACATGACCAAAAGAGATCCTGACCACGACACATTGTAATTAAACTCACCACAGCGAAACATAAAGAAAAGATCCTAAAATGTGCAAGAGAGAAATGTCAGATTACTTTCAGAGGATCTCCAATTAGACTCACAGCAGACTTCTCATCAGAAACCCTACAAGCTAGAAGGGAATGGCGAGACATAGCCCAGGTACTAAGAGAGAAAAACTGCCAGTCCAGAATATTATATCCTGCAAAGCTATCATTTGTGAACAAAGGTGAAATAAACACCTTTCATAGCAAACAGAAATTGAAAGAATTTGTCACCACTCGTCCAGCCCTGCAAAAGATGCTTAAAGATGTGTTGCACACAGAAACACAGAAACACGGTCATCAATATGAAAGAAGGTAAAGGAAGGAAACCTCACAGCAAAATACCACAGGGAATTCAAAGCATATATTAGAAAATATCTTTGGCAAATGGCAGGGCAAAGTTACCACTTATCATTAGTCACATTGAACATTAATGGCCTGAACTGTCCAGTTAAAAGACACCGATTGGCTGATTGGGTTAAGGAACAAAACCCATCTATTTGCTGCTTACAAGAAACCCATCTGTCCAACAAAGATCCATACAGACTGAAAGTGAAAGGCTGGAAAAAGATATACCATGCCAACAGAAATGAAAAAAGAGCGGGCGTAGCCATCTTCATATCGGACAACATAAACTTTAACACAAAAACTGTTAAGAGAGACAAAGAGGGGCACTATATAACGATTAAGGGATCAATTCAACAGGAAGATATAACAATTACCAATGTATATGCACCTAACTACAGGGCACCGGTTTATCTAAAAGATTTGTTAAGGGACTTAAAGGGAGACTTAGACCCCGATACAATAGTACTGGGGGACTTCAATATTCCACTCTCAGAAATAGATCAACAGGACAGAAGATCAACAAGGAGACAGTAGATTTAAATGACACTATAGCCCAAATGGATCTAACAGATATATACAGAACTTTCAATCCTACATATTAAAGCATTTACATTCTTCTCAGCAGTACATGGAACCTTCTCTAGGATTGACCACATACTAGGCCATAAAGCAAGTCTCAGCAAATTCAAAAGAATTAGAATCATACCATGCAGCTTCTCAGACCATAAAGCAATGAAGTTGGAAATTAGCAACTCAGGAATCCCTAGAGCATATGCAAACACATGGAGATTGAACAACATGCTCCTGAATGAACAATGGGTCATAGAAGAAATTAAAAGAGAAATCAAAAATTTTCTGGAAGTAAATGAGGATAATAGCACAACATACCAAAACTTATGGGACGCAGCAAAAGCAGTGTTAACAGGAAAGTTTATATCAATAGGTGCCTACATCAAGAAATTGGAAAGGCACCAAATACATGAGTTTTCAATGCATCTTAAGGATCTAGAAAATCTGCAGCAAACCAGACCCAAATCTAGTAGGAGAAGAGAAATAATTAAAATCAGAGAAGAAATCAACAGGATTGAATCCAAAAAACATTACAGAAAATCAGCCAAACAAGGAGCTGGTTTTTTGAAAAAATAAACAAAATTGACACCCATTGGCCCAACTAACTAAAAAAAGAAGAGAAAAGACCCAAATCAATAAAATCAGAGATGAAAAGGAAACACAACAACAGACACCACAGAAATAAAAAGAATCATCAGAAATTACTACAAGGACTTGTATGCCAGCAAACAGGGAAACCTATCAGAAATGGATAGATTCCTGGACACATGCAACCTACCTAAATTGAACCAGGAAGACATCGAAAACCTAAACAGACCCATAACTGAGTCAGAAATTAAAACAGTAATAAAGGCCCTCGCAACAAAGAAAAGCCCAGGACCAGACGGATTCACTG